AATAACTGCTGTCTTTACCAACGAGAAGGTCATTACAACTCGTGATTAATGACTCATTTGAGGATGTCGTGACCTACACCTGACGTTGTTGCACAAGATTTATAACTGGAGGTTAGATGCAGTTAATCTACCAGTCAGAGAAGGCAGCCAGTTTCGTGGTTCGATTTCAACAGTTTGTTCAGTCTACTCCTTCAAGAGCCAATGACTCATCCCTGCTGTGCATGGGAATAAATGAAAAATCAAGAAAACCCATTAAAAATCATCACTGTCCAGTAACATACTCGATCGATTTTATAGACGTGATAATCATTCAGATTGTTCCACTTAAATGTAAGGAACATCTGACAGCTTGAACAAAATGGCAAGTGAACCTCAGTTGACTATTGGTTCCGTGTTCCGTTGATTCCGAACACTCTATCATGACTCCATAACGCGACCTGATCTTCAGCTCAGCTAAGTCCTGATCCATGGTGAAGTGTCGAAGTATAAATAGTGGAAAACCAAGTTACTCATTTACTTGACTAATGATCGAGCAAACATTGTGAAATATGGTTGATAGTTCAGTGCTATCACGATTCCATATTGATCCAGCGAACGCAGCTAATGAGCCGCGTGATCATTTTCTGCTGTAGGTTGGACTAAGCTAGGGATCTAACCACAGTAGATAGTTCGGTTTGACGTCTCAAATGTGTCAGATTGTCACTTATTTCCTTTCTGGAACGTTTCTGTCTTTCTGAAGGATTTTTTAGTCTTCGTTTATATAGGCTTCTTTTCAAAGTGGTTAAACCGAAGCGTTAATATGAATTCGGAACCTGTAGTCAAATATGAATTGTGATAATCCTGTGCCGAAAAAACTTATCAACCATTCATAAATAGCCGAGTTGATTAAGGTCTAATACAGCATTTTAAAAGATAGTAAAACTTTTGACGGCCAACTTAGCTGTCAAAGTTTACATGGGCAGAGTCAATCGAATAGGAGAGGTCAAACGTTACTAGTATCTCGTTGATCCATTGTTTTATCAAACTGACCTAATGAAGTCGCGCGAGTTCAGATTTTGCCTCATCAGTTATCTATTCTGTTCGTTATTTCGAAAGCAATTAACGTTCACGTACAGATGAACTATACTCTTACAGCCATAACTTGGAGCCTAAGTCTACAGCTCACACCTGAGAATCGTTGAGAAGAGAAGCTTTGCGTAATGACGACAAGTGTTATTGTTTTGAGTATGGCTTATACGTTCTTATGAACAAAAGCTATTGCATATCTTCGTCGAACCTACAAGCGTGTTCGACCGATACAACGACCTTAACGGCCAGTTGTGCCTAATAAGTCATTTCTTTTAAAAACCTAATGAATTTCCTATCGTAACACGAATCTTAGTTTTAAATCTAGAAAAGTTAGATGTTTGAAATTATTCGAACGTATCCATTAGTTCATTTAGCTTCAAGTTCAACTAAAAAATGTTAACTATATAATACTTGTTGTGACAACAAAAATTCAGGAAGCTTTCTCGGAGTAAACAGCCAAAGCTACTTGCAAACCGTCCTCAGATAAACAACACAGCCTTATATTGCGCAGTACCACACGTTGTGATATAAGGAATTCTTATGCTTAATTAATTCACGCGCAGTTAGATGGATTTCATATGCCCAGTTACTTTCCCCGGTAATATAGAATACGAATCTTATGGTTGCTTTTCATAAGCGTCAAAACACAGTGTTACATAATTTTTGCGCAACAGGGATGATAGCTACACCGTGAATTGTCTATTTTATTCAACGACAGGTTTAAATATCTTTGTATAACAGTCAGCAGATTCATCATACCAGACTTACTTTCAAATGGTCTACATTAACAGAAATTGCTTCCCGCTGATCATGATGTTTACATCCAATGTTCATAATCATACCAAAAAATGTCCACACAAGTTTGTTCTGCACAATCAAAAGTATTCGAATAGTTTGACAAAAAACCAATGTTTTTCAACGTCATTACTGAGGAGGCTGTTTGAAATCTGCTTTTTTATTAAAGTTATCGAATGTTTTCACATTATCCTCTAGTCTTTACTATCAACTAGCTATACTTTATGAACCGAAGCGTAACTCAGAAGCATTTCCTTCCGAAATGAGGCCCTGTTTTATGAAATGCTCAACACACTTTACAATACATACGAAGACGTCCAATGACTTTTGTAAACCTTTTCATCGTTTCCGAAAGAGCATCTCAAACATAACGGCAGATAGTTCACTCAAGTAACTAATGCAGTCAATTAAACTATTCAAGAAGTGACCAAACTTGTCAGTAAATCTGTGTAACTGTGACAACCTTCTTGGCGCCCCCTAAACTTGGAAAAATGTTATGGAATTCTTTGATTTAATCTGTTAGGTGGTGGGCACAAAAAATCCGGTTTCTTCAAGTCTGATGAAGAAAATATTGATATTATGTTAATCGGATGATCATGACTATTTTTTGCGATGTTCTGTTTATCACATAGCAGTCGATTAGGAAGTTCTCAGAGTGTCGGACTGAACACGTCGCAGTTCATGGTGCCTCTGAATGCAGAGTATTTGGCAAGCTGTTCACAAATAATGACGAATCAATATACGGAGTCTTGCTGGTTGACAGTTTTCTTGCTTTAAGCCTATCTGTTTCATGAAAAGAAATGCTACATACCATTTTTGGTATAAACAAGGAGTCACTAAAACGATCGTTTTGCGCGTGTTATTGCACTCTAGAGAAGTAGCAACTAACACTGGCAAGTCTATCTGGTTGAAGGCTAAGTTTAGTACTGATGTGAATATCATCACACCTTATTCCGACGCCTTCCTTACGATGCCTCCGTTATGTTAATCTGAAACACCTGGAAAGTTTATCAGTCACAACAGGGCTGTTCATCGTAGGATGCCAGTTTCTTGGCGGTTTTTCCCCCTATGTTTCAAAGTCAGTTCAATTTTTTTATTTATTGCCAATTTTTTCCATTTAACGATGTGAAAGCGAAACAGTTGCCAGCACACTGTAAAGGTCAAACGGTTAATCGCACATTTTGACAACGTTGTAGCCAACGCGAGAAAGTGAATGGAAAGTCATAAATTTGATTCGTTACGTGTATCCCCTTGCTTCGCGGAAAGTAAGCGAGTCAGATACACTGTGCAAATAGGCCAGCTTATCCTTAAAATGACGTGAATGTTGAAAGTAACAAAATTTTCTAAAGATACTTCGATTACACCGATGAAAACCTTGACGTAAAATATCTCAATGCGTGGCCTATCCTCAATTGTTTATGTCACAATTCCTCAGTTTTTGTTAAGAGAGCTCATTTTTTATGATCTTGACTCATTAAAATGATGGAATTGAAATATATAAATCAGCAGAATGTAGAAAAAACGGTAAAATTGAAAATGCCAAGTGTGAAATTTCCGAGCTTCTGGCGTGGCTTCGTAGCTCAGCTGGTAGAGCGCTTGCCGCGTTCAGGCATGGTGTTTCTGTCGCTGGTTCGAATCCAGCCGAAGCCCTGACTTTTCACAATTGGGTCTCATCTATAATCATCAAAATCTGTTAAATTACTCGTTATTAATAAAAATGCCAGACTTGGCAAACGAAACAAATCATCACACTTATTCCGACGCCTTCCTTACGATGCCTCCGTTATGTTAATCTGAAACACCTGGAAAGTTTATCAGTCACAACAGGGCTGTTCATCGTAGGATGCCAGTTTCTTAGGCGGTTTTTCCCCCTATGTTTCAAAGTCAGTTCAATTTTTTTATTTATTGCCAATTTTTTCCATTTAACGATGTGAAAGCGAAACAGTTGCCAGCACACTGTAAAGGTCAAACGGTTAATCGCACATTTTGACAACGTTGTAGCCAACGCGAGAAAGTGAATGGAAAGTCATAAATTTGATTCGTTACGTGTATCCCCTTGCTTCGCGGAAAGTAAGCGAGTCAGATACACTGTGCAAATAGGCCAGCTTATCCTTAAAATGACGTGAATGTTGAAAGTAACAAAATTTTCTAAAGATACTTCGATTACACCGATGAAAACCTTGACGTAAAATATCTCAATGCGTGGCCTATCCTCAATTGTTTATGTCACAATTCCTCAGTGTTTGTTAAGAGAGC